GCGCCGCCACACCTACATAACGAGTGTCAATTATTTTATGAGCAGGGGGCTCAGACTGGACGTAGATAGTGCAGCATCGTTGCCGACGAATGTGCAAGTGCCAGGAGAATGCCTTGTAGTCTGCGGTGCGTCGAGAAGAAGGCAAGTAATCTGCGAGAGTGCCGTGAAGCAGAGGCGAGCAGTAAGGCTCAGAGCCGTGCCGAACCCTGTAGCGCAGAGAGTAGCTTGAAGGAACAGGAAGCATTATGATTCCAGTGCTGCGATGAACCTTGTGAAGCTAGATGGCTTGCAGGATATGAAGACTGCAGACGATAATATCTGCTCGGGAGCGAATGGGTGGGGTATTTTTTATGACGATGATGGAGCTTGAAGTTTCCGAAGGTTGTTGGTTGCGTGTTCAGATCACATCGGGGTCACCACTGTGGCCGAGGAAGGAAAAGGGGAGCGGCCAACACTCCGTGTGATAGTTCGGAAATGTTCTATATATACTGTTTATGATTCGGAACTTTTGATAGCGTGATTTAGGCTTCGCTGTGTTTCGCTTGTGGCGCGACGACAGCGCCGCCACAAACTAATATAATGAATAAAAATAATGTAATGTTACTAACCAATTTATAGTTTTATAATTATTATTATAATCTAATATGCAGACGATACGCTGGTCACTGCCCGGGGTGAGGCTTATGAGGCAGCCGTCAGTCTTACCACTCTGTCTGTGGCACAGGTTATCGGCAGAATCAGGATGCTGGGACTGGAAGTGACATCAATCAATTCCGAGGACATTTATTTTCACAGGCCTCGAAAAGCGCCGCCACAGGGATTCCACATCATTGTCAATTATGTCCGCATTCAGGTTGGGTACAAAATAAGTACACGGTATATTTTTAATAGCCACTGGATCTTCCGCGGGCACTTCAAGCGGTTGTCCCTCAGGCTAATAATGAGAGCAGCATCTGCCTTAAAACGCTACTACCCAATATCACAGGGCTCAATGCGAATTGCTGCTGCCTCTACTCATGGTGCATCCAAACATGCCCGGCGGCACGGCTGGCGGCCGACCCGGCGGCACGGCCGGCGGCCAGGCCGCCGGCCATCTCCTGCGGCACGCGCGGCTTTTGGTTGCCGGCAGCAGTTTGCTTGCGGCTTCGATACGGAGTGGTAGTGTTGTAGTATTCGTGAATAACATAATTTCATATACTTAAATAACGAAATGACAGAATTTAAGTAGGATGATAGTGCAGTAATTTTATTAATAGAAAAGTATCAAGAAAATGAACTATTGTGGAACCCAAGGCATATGGATTACAAGAATCGCAACAAAAGAAATGATGCTATTAGGGATATTGCTTCTGTGTTCAACATAGCATCATCAGAAATTGAGAGAAAACTGAAGAATTTATCCAGCCATTATTTTCGAGAAAAACGCAAATATGAAGAATCTAAAAGGAGTTGATCTGGACGGGAAGATGTTCAATTGCCGAAATGGATTGCTTATATGGCGTTATCATTTCTTAATGACAAGAATGCACCGGTACCGACTCTGAACAGCCACACACTTAGTGTAAGTACCCATCAAATTCTTATAATTAAGTAGACTAGTTGGTCGCCCATTGGTCGAAATTCGACCATAATTAATTTAAAATACATTATTTCAATAAGTAATATTTTCGTAAATAGGGGTACAAAGTTTTTGCCTCGCGTATTAATATTAGATACCTACTACCTACTGTAGTGTGTTAGGGCAGGTTAAGGTAAACCTATCAATTAAACACTACTTTTATAAAGAAATATAAATGTTTATTAACAGCGATAAAACTAAAAACAATAATGCGCGGCGCGAGTTACGAAAAGACATGCATTCGCCGTTGCAATTGCAATTATTTATAAGATTTCCTTTTTATTTTCAGTCTTCTCAAGATAATATCACTCCCCAGACTACGCTGCCTTCGACAAGGACAAGAGAAGGTAATAGATTAAAATAAATGTTTATATTTTCGGTTAAATTATTTTATTTTAATAAAAGCTTAAAATTATTGATAAATGTTTCAGATTCATAAATAAAACAATTATTTGAATAATCATATTTTATTTATTTCAAACATTATATTTGATATTGCCATGGAAGCTGACCTTGTTCCGATAGAAAATAACATTTTAGCTCATTTCTAATTACACTTGGTTCTACATTTAGAGCGATCTGCGGAATATTTTGTTGCTCTTCGTTCAAAACTCCATCAGTAGTTCTTTCATTTCTCTTCATAAAATTATGCAGATGCACACAAGCCATCACGATAATTTTTGCTTTCTCATTTTGTAAACCAATGCGTGAATGCAAAATTCTGAATTTATTAGATTAAAATGCTAAACGCGTCTTCTACAACCATGCGCCCGCGACTAATTCTATAATTAAAAACCCTCTCAGGTGATCCTTTTGCATGATATCCAGAAAATGGTTTTATTATATTCTGTGAGATGGGGAAAGCATCGTCACCGATGAAATAAAAAGGTACAAGTGTATTTCTTCCCTTGTAATGGAATCGCTTGTGACAGACTTAAAGTTCCATCTCGTATCATATCAAATAAAGTTGAATTTCGTAGAACTCCAGCATCAGATATTCTGCTCTGACATCCAATGTCCACGTATAAAAAGTTATAATTGGCATCGATTAAAGCTAGCAAAACAATACTGTAATATGACTTTTAATTAAAAAACTCAGAACCGCTATTATTTGGACATAGTATACGTATATGTTTCCCATCGAGGGAAACGTACGCAATTAGGTACATTCCATTTCTGCATGAAACTCCGAGCCACTGATAGCCATTCTCCCTGTGTATTCGGCATCTGTAAAATAAAATTGTTTGTGATATTTGTGTGTGTAGTTCTAGTAATATGTATGTAAAATGTGTTTGAAGTTCCAGGTACAGTATAAAATCATAGATATTATAATTCGACTAGGAATAGATACGTCACTTAGGAAACCGTTGTCCTGTGAACTCTCCTGGCAAGAATCTTTTAGTTAAAATGTTTGTGTCTTGTACATGCCATAACTGTGTATATAATAAATAATAAACTGTTTTGTTTTCTAATATAGGCGTTCAGTTTCTAACTACCTAATGTGTTACGGATATTTGTACTCTTACCCTTAAATAATTGAATAATGTACATACCAAAGCTTGACAAACATCTGGAATTATTAAATATAAAATTATTAAAGAAACTTGTGGAGATACTTTAAACAGTGTACCGAGTGAAAAATAAGAGTCTCCTGTAGCCAGGTATCTCAAAGTAATTGCTAGTCGATCGGAAGCTGACACAGCATTTCTCCAGCGGGTGTCAGTTTTTGATATCATGGGTCCAGTTAAATTCAGTAATATTTCAAATTCTTCACTAGAGATCCTTAGAAAAATGTTAAATTTCGAACGCATATTTCTTCAGTTTATGTCGTCGTTTCTAAAATCTTCAAGTATCAGGGACACATAAGGCCTATTTCGTAGACTTGGTCTGACCCAATATGTTCGTTTGATTTTGCGGTTCTTTTTAAGAATAATAACATACAACACTACACTTGCGATACACGCAACTATATTATAGTCCAACATCTTCCAATCCTACGTACACGACTAACTTCGACGAAAGCCTTCGCCTTCTCGAATGATATTAGCTCCAAAGGAAGTCATGCAAAAGCAGTTATTGTATTCAAGGATATGTTGAAGAAAATGGCTGGAATCGGGATCACTTCCATCGAACAATGGTTTCAGTGTCAGTGGTGGTGTAAGTAATGGATCCAGTTTGACTTTTCCACTTGCGCAGCACAATCCAGCCGTTTCTCTTTTGAACTTTAACGCATTGCAATATCGGCATATAGTCGTCATTGGTCCAATATCTAAATTTTCATCATCACTGTAGTTCGCAGTGGGATCATATTGGAATGCCAAGCGATTGTATGATATCAATGATCTTCGTGTGCTCACGCGTTGTATCAATCGGGCATTTTCTCTTATTATATTTTGTCTTTCTTCGCTTAAGTTCTGTGAATACACTTGTTGCTGGCTTGCATGTCTTGTGCGGCGGCCGATTTTCGCACGTCGTCCTCTAGGCATTTTGGACTATGGACAGAATGGTGAATTTAAACCTCAAATGCATGATCCACATAATTTACACAGTTCAACTTACCACTTTAAAGACAAATGCCTGCTGTTGAAATTGAATAAAAATTTGCACAATACACGTGATTGATTTGATGGTTTCCAATTGTAATGTTAGGAAACGAATAACTTATTTTTTTAATTTTTTTTTTACAATTTCACAGTGAACACAATATCGGTTTGTCACATGAAATTAACTAAGCAGAGAACAATGAGTAGCTGTCAAACAATGTATCACGCACCGGCGCCATCTACTTAAAATATTGGTTTGTAGTACATGCTATGTATCAAAGATGGCGCTGTGTGTGAAAAAAGATTTTCCCGCTTTTCTGTTGAAATTTTTCCTGAATTTTCTTTGCTATAAACCTCACGGAGCCCGAGACCTTTCCAACGAATGCAAAACCGTGGAAATTGGTTCGTGCGTTCGGGAGTTATAGCGTCAGGAAGGAAAACCCAACTTATTTTTATATAGTAGATTTACTTTTTTCAAAAGGTCTTTATAATATTAAATTGAAATAGCGCCACGTCAAAGCCAGGCAAAGCCAGGGCGGGAAATATAAAAAACAGATATAAATAAAGAACAGATTTTTCATTTCTTTTTATTCTTAAACAATGTTACACAATCGCAAACTATATTTACAAGGCTAACTATAAAAGTCCTTCCATCTCCTTCATGAACTGCATGTAAGCATCATCCTTGCTAGGGGCTTGCTTAGGAACGTCGGTTGGTCTCTGCAGTGCTCCGGTTTTGACCCCCGGTTTGTTCTTCTTGTCTTCTCGTTTCACTCGTAAAGCAGAAGGTACGAACCGTGTTACGTCGGCGGAAAGATTTCTGATTTGAGGTTTTGCACTTATTGTCGCACCTTGGAAAAAACAAAATTAAAGCTTTTTATAACTCTTTGTTTCATGAACAAACAATAAATATAAATACCTTTTAATGATTTTATAATAGCAATAATACACATGAATCGTAAAGTTGGTTTAACACGCTTCCTTATTCATTGTTATTGCGACTCAGCGCGGCATTAATATATTCGGTCCATCAGTTATTCATCTGTTATTGTATTCTTAAATATGGGGTATGTTCCAAAATAGAACCCAGTGTACTGTCCAATGCAAATGACGTCATGAATCGACGCTATACTGGTAATTAGTTCCAAAGCATAGGACAATATATTATGACGTCATACATTTGCGCCATATTGGAAAAGTGTTGGCGATTATTTTGTCATTTTGTCTCCAAAAATCATTATATCCTCCTAATGGAGATACCAGCAATTATTCTATAATTTTTTGTATGTGAATAAATAAAAATTCTGGCATGCTTTATTCAGCGCACACACAATTAAAAATTGTTTTATTATGGCCGGATATCGGACACAATATGACGTCGGCACGTCAGTACAATATAGTGTCAATTGATGACGTCATTTGTATTCGGTAGTATACTGAAAACATTTCGGAAGGTACCCATAATTACAACAAAATTATTTATAATTATTTATGTAAGTTTTATTCAACCAAAGCACGTCCAGAAAAATGATAGTTCCTGCTCTATTATAGATATTCGCGAAATTAGTTACATTTACGTAAAGGAGACAATCATTTTTGGGTCCACTAGAAATTTTAACAACCCTCAATAGTATTACGCAAAAAAAAGATACCAATTTATTATTATAAATAGCTTGAAGATTTTTTGAAAATCTAAACGGAATCAAGAAATGTGAAAAAAAGTGTTGTTTTGATATTTGTTGCCAGGTATTAAAAGATAATTGTATTAAAAGATGTGCCAACTCGGAATAAAATCGACTTAAAATTCAGGTAACTCGAATTGAACTCGAGTTACGCAATTAAAATTAGCTGAAGGAAACTGTATCAATTTGTCACAAATTATTTTTATATTTGTCTTTCCATCCAACAAAATTATTATTACTAAACTTAATAAAATAATATCACTCCTAACGTTATGACGTAGATCTTAATGTTATTTATAATTTAACTATCACAAATTATACTTGATCAATTTATATTATATATAACATAAATTGATATTACATAATATACATATTACTGATATTAAATAAAATATCAATAAATTGCTCGAATTAGTAAGTCAGGTTTATCACTAAATTGTAGACAGACATTGCATTGGCTGTGATTCGAAACGATTCGAGTAGCGTTTACGTCGAGAATGATGCCAAGAAAAACAGAGGATTCAACAAGGCTCAGTTCTTCCCCATTTAAAAACACATTGGTAAGCAGATTTTTAACATTATTTGTTGAAATTTTAATACATTTAGTTTTATTGCCGTTTAAATGTAGATTATTAATGTAATAATGGGGCCGCATCTGTGTCTATCGCCGTACAAAGCGACACGATGCACGCAGATGTGACCGGCTATTATTGGCTATTGTCGCGAACATCTGCGTGTGCGCGTGTGCGGGTGGCGGTACATCAAAGGATTTTAGCGCGCCAACATATCGCGCTGCCTGGTCAGACTAGCGTTGTTCATTTCGGCCGTTGTTTTCGATCAGTTCAGACGCATGAGATGGCTTTGTAAAAATGGAGTGGAGTGATGAAATGGTACTGGAATTCCTTTTTTTAGGTTTCTTCTTTTTATATTTTAATAAATGCATTATGTAATTGTTAGCACACATGTAGAAGTAAAGAAATTCGTCGTCCATAGTTAAACGTTTGAAAATGATTTCGGTCATCTTGGATCGATCACGATAGTTCATGCAAAATGTCGATGCCGCTAATATGACCACAGCTTTTATCGTGATAAATTTTTAGTGTCAATACGTAGGAAGCTTCGGCACGCATTACTTTGGAACGATACACGCAGGTGCGACCGAAGCATCCGTAGGTTGTTTTATTCTGATCTAACAAATATAAAATATAATTATTATTTCAGAAAGAAACATTAATCTCTACTTTATCTTAAAATTAACTTCCCCGCTATGAAATCTGTCAAATACTTCCCTGGTGACACCCTAACAGAAAAAGTTATGGAGCCTTCTGAGTACTATAAAAATATGGTGCGATGTGGTAAATAAATAATATCTTCACCCGAGTGCCCCAGAAAGAGTGTAATATTTTTCGAGTGTATGCATGTATGTTTAATTCTATGGCACGCTATGCAGCCCTAACATAAATGAAAACGTAGGAAGTAAAAGTGAAAAAACCAAAAATTACTCCTACTCTAAAGTAATGATTCCAGAGCAAGTTTTTGGACGATACCTCGCTCGTAGCTGCGCGTATATTTCTTGGGAAGAGTATATTTAGTATAGTACCTCATGCTGAAAGCTAATGTGACGGAGGATGACATGGAGAGTAGAATTTAGATTCGATATTAAATAAATAAATAAACACTTTTCGACACAAATGTATATAATATTACGAAGGCATTTTTGACGACTCCGTGGCGTAGTGACTTAACAATGTGTTGCTGCAATGAGAGCCGCGGCGCGGGTTCGAATCGCACAGAGAACAAGTACTTGTATGGCCTACAAGTAATAGTTCCAATACTTGTTCTTGTGAAATTCATGTATGTAAACTGCCTGCCAGGGGGGGAGCAAAGTTTTAAATAAAAAAATTGTGCGAGTTATTGTGTCAATACCATGTACAAAGTGAACCTTCTTTACAATGCGAGTGAAATAAGAATAGGACTGACCTGGCACCATACTGTCACGTCATAGCTGTCAATACAAACCCATTAGGTAGGGTGAGCTAAACAGATATTGTTGAAATAATATTTATTTACAAAAGAACAATGAAGTAAAAAGTGTTAATCTGATTTTAGCATTTAAATTTCGTTCATTAAAAAGAGACGAGCTGAGCAGTCAAGAAGCGGGGGTCCGCACTCCCCCAATCGGAAAGCGGGTTAGATAGCTCAAAAACGACCAAAGAGGCGACATGATGATTGGTAGCAATACCAAATCATAAACCATCATTATCATCATCATCATCTTCACCTTCACTGCCTTTCCCTTTCACTTTGTAAAATCCCTTGTAGGCCATGAGCCCTGAGTCAAATGAAGCTGTAAAAGCCGCATAGGCTAACAGCACTTACATCACAGAAAATCATCGTCATCATCATTACAGCCCTTCACAAGTCCACTGCTGAACATAGGCCTTCCCCAAGTAATGCCACAAAGCACGGTCCTGAGCCATCTGCATTCATCGACTTCCTACATGTCTGACCAGGTCGTCACTCCATCTAGTGGGGCGTCGCCCAACACTTCGCCTACCAGTACGAGGCTGCCATTCGAGAACCTTTTTTCCCCAACGGTTGGCGGTTCGTCGATCTATATGGCCGGCCCATTGCCACTTCAGCTTACTAATCCGTTGGGCTATGTCGGTCACTCTGGTTCTAATGAGGATATCCTCATTTCTAAGTTTGTCACATAGAGAAAGCCAGAGCATAGCCCTCTCCATAGCTCGCTGAGCAACTTTGAGCGTCCTCATACGGCCAGCAGTGAAGGACCACGTCTCAGTTCCATAGGTCATCACTGGCAACATGCATTGGTTGTATAGTCTCGTTTTCAGGTTTTGAGGTATAGCTGACGAGAAGATGTGTCGTAATTTCCCGAACGCTGCCCAGCCGAGCTGAATCCATCGATTGACTTTTCGGTCGAAGTTGGACTTACCTAGTCGGACTGTTTGTAATAGGTAAACGTGCTCGTCAACAATTTCAAGCATAGTGCTCCAAACTACTAGCGGCATAGGTGTGACATGGACATTAAACATGATCTTTATTTTCTCCATGTTCATCTTAAGACCTATCCGTCGGGAGATACTTTTGAGGTCATTGAGCATAGTGCTTAGGTCCTCCAGCGATTCCGCTATAAGGACTATATCGTCAGCAAATCGAAGGTCCTTTCCTGTACAGTAACTTGAAAACATCTTCCAATGCAGCGGTGAAGAGTTTGGGGGATATAACGTCACCCTGTCTTACACCTCTCTGCAGTTGGATAGGTTTCGCACTCTGGTTCTGTACTCGGATAGCCATCGTAGCCCTACTGTACAAACACTTCAGCACTTTGATATACCGACAGTCCACTTGGCACCGCCGAAGGGACTGTACTACCGCCCAAACTTCGACAGAATCAAAGGCTTTCTCATAGTCCACATACGACAGGCAAAGTGGCAGATTGTACTCTTCGGACTGCTGTACAATTTTCGAAGGGTATGTATGTGGTCTAGGGTGCTAAAGCCTTTTCGGAAACCGGCTTGTTCGGGAGGCTGGAAGTCATCGTGTCTGCGTGCGAGATGATTCGTAATGACTCTCGAGAACAGCACGTAGACGCGGCTCAGATGGGATATCGTCTGTATTTCTTCAAGAGTGAAGAACAAGACCACCGCACTTCTGCTCCACGCCTCGGAACTAGAGCCACCATGGAGGACGGAATTAAAGAGCGTCTGAAGGACGTCAAGTACCGGTTTCCCACCCGCTTTCAAAACTCCGCTGTAATACCACCCTCGCCCGGGGACTTGCTGTTTTTATGATGCTGGAGAGCTATTCTAATCTCGCTCAGACGGACTCGGAATATGAAGGATAAGACTTGCACTTGGATCACTACTCAAACTTGCGTGTGGCTCCGACGATGACGTGTACAACTGCCCATAGAACCTATCAATCTCACTCAAAATCTCAGGTGTCCCGGAAACGATGCTGCCTCACTCGGTCTTTAGTTTCAACAGTTGGTTCTTTCTGACAGACAGATCCCTGGTAGACTTTGGAGCCTTGGTTCCACTCGATCGCTTCTTCAATACGAGCCGTACTGAAGTTGCGTAAGTCCCGCCGCATGTATTTAAAGATCTGTCTGTCCAGTTCACAGAAAATAGTTTATTAAAATATTTCATTCACTAGTATCAATATTTTATAGTTATTTATAAAAATAATTATGAGTTCAATAGATTCCGTAATACTAAAACTTAAATAAAGTGGGAAGAAGACGTTATTAATATGTAAATTAATTTTATTTGCAAGCTGTACTTTCCAAGTGACAGTTGACAGACAGATTGATAGAGAGTCGCGATCATTCGAGGTCATTGACGTTCCTATTCTAAATTTGAATCGCATTTTATGAAATATCATTCTACTTTTATTTCATTACTTATGCTGGCTCGGCGGTGAAATGTTTCAAGAAAACGTGATGTTTTTTTTAACACTTTACTAAATGTGTCTACTACGTCGATAAAGAAGTTGCACTTCAAGCAATTATACGGCACAAATGAAACTGACCGTGTGCGCCGTCCTTCTTATGTATGAGCTGCGGCGCAGCGGAGAGCACGGAGACATGGGGCGGCGGGGGCGGCACGAGCGGGCGCAGCAGGCGCGGTGGTGCACCCGGCGGCGGCCCGGGCGGCCGCAGAGCGCCGCGCGCCGCCATTCCGGGGGCGCGCCGGCCGGGGGGGCCGGGGGCGCGCCGGGGGGAACCGGCGGCACGCCCGGCGGCAGCCCTGGCGGAAGCCCCGGCGGCAACCCCGGCGGCGCGCCCGGCAATCGAAGCGCCGGCGGTCGCAACCCTGCAAACGTTTTAAAAGGAAAACTACTTTATGAATTGAATACAATACGACTTTAAGAACTTCAAGAAAGCAGCCTACTCTTTTAAAAAGAATATTAACAATGCTATAAACATTACTAATATACCTCTTAAACACTCGTGGTAAGCTTAAATTGCTTGTGTTACGAGTGGTTCAAGCCAGTAGCCGAATGGCGAAATCGAACCCACAACCTTTTTTTGATTTCGCGGTCCGCGCCCTGCCATTACTGTCGCTTAAATTTTTTAAAAGGCCGGCAACGCATCTGCAATTACTCTGGTGTTGCAGTTGTTCATGGGCAGTAATTAACTTACGATCAGGTGAGCCCCTTGCTCTTTTGCCCTCTTTCATATAAAAAAGTATACATGGATGTGTCGTGTACGTAACAAAACGACTCCAAAATGGCGGCGCTTCTTCACCGCGCACGATTCTTCACTATCCTCAATCAACGAAACGAATTATTTGATCTTTTAGCTATCGAGTATTGCAATTAAATTCAGATTCAGATAATATAAATGCAGCTGCAACACCAAACTCCATCCCCCGATTTTGTCATCATCAGTTTTCTCCCACTATGGAAGCAAATTTAAAGACATTATTGTCAAAAAGCATATAAAGTCCAGGGCAGGGCAGAAGATTTCAATCATGCAACGAAAATTAAAAAAAAAACTGTTAATAATGAGCGATAGCGCAATGGACATGGCGAACCAATTTTTATCACCTCTAGAATAACTTCTAGAGATGATTAAAATTACCTTTTTATTATCATAAGCCTCATTTACATTCAGCCCCTGCCACTACTCCTCGTGCTGCCGGCCATACTTCGCTAAATACTGCCGTAGCAGCAACGAGAGAAGTGTGTATTTACATTCTGCCCTACCACTCATCACTTTCGACTACGGCAGACGTCGAAATAATTACAGCGTCCGAGCTGTCTTCTTGTAATATAAAATTATGTTAATAATTTAAAAAGATATCAGATTCAAAAGAAGAAAACTCGTCGTCGTAGAAGATGTGGTTTTTATCGTTGAAATCCCATATAGTTTTTTCCGATTCCAGCAGTTCTAAAAACTTGATTGTATTTTCGTTACTTCACTCAAAAGGCATTTTGGCAGATCGTACTTATTTAAAAACAAAACGGCAAGCACGTCCGTTCGTCCAGGCACTTCGCGCGAGGTGAGCGATGGAGTTGGAGCAGAATGTGAACACTCACTGCCGCTCGCTCTGCCCGTTCTTTAACTTCCGCACGAAAAACCGACAATCGAGGGAGCGTTTAGCCTGAGCCTGTTTACATACTGCCCTGCCCAACAGTGCTGAATGTAAATGGGGCAATACGGTCAATATAAACATTTAATTTCTTAGGGTTTTAAGCCCTCAGCCTCGGCCAAAGTTTGTAACGATACCCGAATAAATCGACTTTCGTCGGACCCTACATTTAATAATTTCATTGGTGCTGACGGAGATCCCGGGTTGCTCGTGATAGCTGAATAATCGGCTTTGGCTACTTCCAGAAATCGACTTTCGATCTTACACTACAATTAACAAATTTATTGGTGCTAGCAGGTATCCTTGGTTGCTCGTGTACTGTGCTCACAGCGCGCGCTTCGACCTGCTACTGCTAAAGTCCAGGAAAAGAACGCTTATGAAAGGGTTTACTTGTCCTTAGTGTCGTTAGATTTACCTGGAGGCAATAGCGGCGGTGGCATCGGTCGCAATTCAGCCCCCGGAGGCTCGAGGGCGAAGTCCCCTTGCTGCATCAGATGGTGGGTCTCCGTGTCACTATCGGAGTCGCTGTCACGGCCGCCTCCTGTGCGCTTTAGTGCGCTTAACCTGATATGTGAAGTTTCTATGAAATTATCGCTTTTTCAAAACTTACCTACAACATTTTCTTTCAATTGCGAAATTGAAATCAACAATATTCATTTGTCTTAGAATAAAATAAGACAGATTTTTTAAAATTCTATATAGATTAAAAGTAATTCTTATTAAAAGTATTTTTTTACTTTTCCACTTGTTCAGAAAAAACCTTTATCCTGGGAAGACCCAACAAGAAGGTTAGGTGACCTAACACAGATTGCTCAGGTACAAAAGTTAAAAAAGAGGCATTTGCCATAATCACTGTGGTTTGCAATGGGTAATTTTTTTGATTTAGAAAGAATATTAACAATGCTATAAACATTACCAATATTCCTCTTTAACCACTCGTGGTAAGCTTAAATTGCTTGTGTTACGAGTGGTTCACGCCAGTAGTCGAATGGCGGATTCGAACCCACGACCTTTTTGAGTTCGCGGTCCGCGCCCTGCCATTAGGCTACTGTAGCTTCTACTGTTCTGTCTAAGTTATATCGTTGCCCACAACCTGATTATAATCAAATTCCGCCTTTTGAAGTGGGTATACCATCATCAAAGAACGACGAAAGAACAGATGATTGGGTAAAGTAAAAATAAGAGTGAAATATATATATATATATATATATATATATATATATATAACATATTACACTGCTTTAAACGTAAGAAATGGAGAGCCAGCTAGGATAGCTAGAATCGAGAACAGATATCCCAAGAACTACCACAGTCCTTACATAGTCTACAGACTTATAAAAGTGACATATATGTATATCTTCCTATATTATTACAATATAATTAATAATCAAAACTAAATTTACCGAGCATTCAAATCAGCAGCTCTATCTCTTTCTCTCTTCTTGTGTACTTCTTCCATTTCTTTCATAAAGTCGTCAATATTCTGACCAGACAACGCCAACATTCTCTGTTGCAAAGAAGTGGGTTTCGGTGCAGGAGCAGCAGATTGTGGAGAAGACGGCCGTTCAGATTCATCTATTGCCTCTCCATCAAAATCTTCGTGCACTGGTTGGTTTTCGACTGCTATTTGAGGTGTATGAACCTATTAATATAAACAATAACTAACATGATTAAAAATTATGTCAGTTAAATAATTATTTTATGAATTAAAATTAATAAAAATAATTGAATTATTTTTTACAAGTATTCATTCTATAATAAGATTTTTTAATAGTATTCCTTATAGTAGCCCTAATTTATTTGCCTATAATACAGCTCGAATTGAAGAAACGATAGAGCGGAACCAGGGCTCCAAAGTCTTTGCGAGAGATCTGTCTGCGAGAAATAGCCAACTGTCAAATCTGAAGACTGTGTGGCAACATGGTTTCCGGGACATCTGAGATTTTGAGTAAGATTAAGAGGACTGAGCCACAAATACGTCCCGACTTAGAACAGTCTGTTGCCTTTGCTAATCCTTCACTCTTCTACAAACTCAATCACTCAGCTAGCTATGGAGAGGGCTATGCTCGGGGTTTATCTGTGTGATAAACTTAGAAATGAGGATATACGCAGAAGAACCAGAGTGACCGACATAGAGCAGCGGATTAGTAAGCTGAAGTGGCAATGGGCTGGCCATATAGCTCGCAGAACCGACAACCGTTGGGGAAAAAGGTTCTCGAGCGGCAACCTCGTACCAGTAGGCGTAGTGTAGGGCGACCCCCACTAGATGGAGCAACGACCTGGTAAGACATGCAGGAAGTCAATGGATGCAGATGGCTCAGGTCCGTACTTCGTAGCATTTCTTGAGGGAGGCCTATGTTCAGAAGTGGACAAATGAACAAGCATGTTCAATTGTGCCTAAATATTTATTTCAAATATTTGCTTGAGACAGACAACACAGAAATGGAACGATAAATTGTACGATTTTCTCTACAGCCCAATTTAAATATTTCATTTAGTTGTACCCACCAATGTTACCACATAACAATTTTCATCGCTAAAATTGGAGCTAAATAAATTATAATTAAATCAATCATCCAGAATGAATAATTGATTTATTTAGTTATTCACCCTTCAATCCTAATAAAAATCCCATCCAGTCGCTTGCGCCCGGCAAATCCCGAGCGGTCACATGCGACCGCACCCACCCAGAGCACTTAAAACCATTAAAACATATATTTAGAGACTACTTTTCTAAAAAGATTTTATTGTATTTTGATGACAAAAATAATACCAAGCGAATGTCGGCAGCGTGAAAATCACAATTGTTTCAATATATATTACTCGAAATTATTTACGTAAAAAGATAAATTATATTCACACAAAAACTTTCATTACAATTTTATAACAAAACACTATACTAAAACACTAGAAAAATCCAAAATCAAACAATAACATTCACGCGAATGAGGCGTACGAAATGAACGTAGATTATAAATAAATATATCTATAGCATAACTAACTTTTTATTGAACTAGAGAATAGAAAATTTCATATTGATTCTAAAATGCCAAACTTCTTCATAGAAAAGTAGTCTCTATATATCTTTTTTATGGGTTAAAGTGCTGTGGGTAGGTGCAGCCTCGATTTGACGGAATATGGCCGCGGTCTCATGAGGCCGCTAGGGGTTTAAGAGGTTAAGTAATTGGAAATATGTGATATTGATATCATGTCATTGTAAAACTACATACACATTCCCCAGGTGGACCTTCATCCGGTAAGTCAGAGAAGCGAAGGCTTTTCTTCTCTTTTTGTGCGTCCGTTTTCATTGCTTCAAATATTAAAAATTCGTAATCAGGCGGCGGACCAGGCGGTACCCCTGGAGGTTCTACGCCAACTGGTTTTTCCTGTAAGAAAAAAGGTTATAAGGATGAACAAAATAGTATAAAAAATCTCAACATTACATTAAGTTTGTAGTAATAATATTTAAAAAATATATAATATTTGTTTCTTTTTTAAATCAGATAATGTTAATAAATTAAAATCATTATAACTTTTAAATTTTTGAAACTTTTAAATTCTAATCTATATTTTATCTATCTATATTTTAATTAAGATAAAGTAACTATGCCTACGTCCCACTTGCTGGGTATGGTCCTCCTATAATTATTCGGAAGATAATTGAGTGATTGATTAATAATAAGAAGTAAGTCCACTGCACTGGTCCAGGCCTGGAATGATGTTTTATGAGATATTTATTTTCCAAAATGCAAGCCGCCTCATGAAGTTTATCTTTATCACTAAGCATATGATAAATCAGTACTTGATAAGCATGGGCGTTTTCAGGTTTTTCCTGCAACGGTTACATATCCAATATTGACTTTTCATCGTTACTGAAAACCGTTTTCAGATATCGATATAAGTCGTAATGGTTTGCTACTGAATGCGCAAACGACAACCGAAACATAGCCGTAAACTGTAAAACTAGTGCAAAACATTTATTTTACGAATTACTTAGACAATTAAAGGTAGTTTATTTAAGTATTTAAGTTGGCGATTATTCTTCATGCCTAACTAGGCTTAGGATTAGCAGAAAACTCTCTTGAGTTAGAACTTAAGTTTCCAGTAATAGATTTATAAAACAACATTTATTGATAATACTTACAAACAGCATAATACACGGAATTGACTTTTTTATTAAAGTGAGACCATATTTCACTAGCCTTACGCGACATTTTGAAAGTATTGTTTCAAAAATGATTTAGAGTCTAAATCAACTTAAAATACACTATATTATAGTAAATTTCTGAATTAAAAATAATGTACAAAATGCACAAAAATATTGCAAATAAATGCACGAACGCAACGTCAACAATTAATAATTTTATAGATAATATCTTAGAGAATGGCACGCGCCACCATGGTCAAGTGCGTAATTGCTTTTGAAAAAAATTCAAAACTTTCCATCCAAAACATAAACAAGATATAATATGGTCATACAAATCTAAGCCTTGTATCTAATGACCTAAATATCATTTAAAATTTGATAAATCTAACAACAACACAAACTTAAAATTTAGGCAATTTTAACCATTTAAAATTCGTCCTCATTGCTTTAGCTATATAATATTTTTTACGATGTGCACCGTTGTGTGATAACTATCATATCCATATTCGCTTCATCTCTTTCTAAACTTCTTTATACTATCGTTGCAAGAATGAGAAGCGATGAATATCAACAGGGGACATCGGTTAATGGGCCGTTTTCCGTTTTGGGAGATCGTTCCACAGTTTGCGTTATATGTTTCGGTTTCGTTTTCATAACGTTGGTTAGGTAGTTGGTTTTGGTTGGATATATGATAACGGTTATGTACTTAGGTTTATCGATATATGGTATTTTGGTAGGTAACATAACGTTTTTAGTTATGTTTTAACATAACTCTCATGCCTAGTACTTTAAATAACAAATAGTCCAATAAATGTTGCCGACATTAATGATTACTGCTTGCTTATCCGATAACTTCTATTTCGTTATTATGACTAAAACTCACTCTGTAAACTGAGTCCTTTTTCAGAATTGGCTTTGGTATTACTGGATGCACTGTATCAATGGGCAAAGGAATTTGGGATGGTACATTTCCATATATTAAGTTGTCAGGAACCTGAAACATAAATATAGCAACAACTGTATTTACACATTTATTTCATCATCACCTTCACAAGTCCACTGCTGAACATAGGCATTCCCCAAGGAATGCTACAAATCATGGTATTGAGCCACCTGCATCCATCGACTTCCTTCATTTCTTACCAGGTTGTTACTTCATCTAGTGGCTTTAGTGGAATACGCCCTACACTGTGCCTACCACTCAAGAACCTTTCTTCCCAATGACATTCATTTACTTACCATACAATAGGGATGTAGAATTGTTGAGAAAAAATGTCCTCTTCTTTCCCATCACATCATCAGTGCACTGATACATGTAGGCCAGTCCATAATATGGAGGTCTTACCTCCTTTGTATTGAAGATGGCAGTACAAGATTTTGCATCAGGTCTGTACATAAAACATATAATCTTTATATATAAAAATTACGTGACACATTGTTCGTCCGCACTGAACTCCTGTACTGAACTGATTTCAGTGAAATTTTGCAAACTGGATGCAGTTTTTCTAACTTTTAACTAACTTGGTTTTTGAACCGATAAGTAACCCTTAATTTATTTATTGCGTATTGAAGGATATTTTACAGGAAAGTCGTCGGAAAGGGCAGTACAACATCTGCCTGGCCAGCTAGAAATGTATAAAATATAATAAATATGGCTCTATCCATCCATTACAGCCTATAAAAGTCCACTGCCTAACATAGGTCTCCTCCATAGATTGCTTCATAGGAATTTTGCCATAGTTCCCACACTTGGCAAGTAAGTTGGCAACCGCAGTTTTTCATAATTTTGAGTTGTTATTGGGAAGATACCACTGCCCATTTTGTGTTTCTGTTTCCCTATTTCGCATTTTACGAAACCCATTGGATGACACAGGGTAGTGAATATTTTCACACTCCATTTATTGGGGACCACTCATTCATTCAGAGATTTCATTAACTATCCCTAGAAGTGCTCAATTCTCACACGTGTTCAAGAAACAAGTGAAGGAACACTATTTGTCTCTCTAACCCCTCTCTTTTCATTCTTTTATATATAGTCATAGATCTATGTGCCTAAAATATGTTGCCTCTTTAGTGCATAAGTTGGCATCCTTTCTCTCATTTGAATGCAGCCTATGCATTAATCTTTCTCTTATTTTTATTTAATTTTATTTGTGGGTTGTCTGGAAGAGATTGCTATGTAGCAATAAGACAAGCTTTTGTTTTTTCCTCAATATTTATTTATTTTTGTTAATTTTATCTTTCCTTGGTGTACAATGAAGAGTACTGTATTGTATTATATCCTTTAGGATAATCAGAATGTGATCGAATCATGGATTCCCTTAGGCTATCGCCACATAGATTAAACACATAAATAACATTGACCTGTCACATATCATTAACTGGGAAAAACAACATAACTGAACTAATTCCCGGTCCCATGTACCATTACTTGCTGCTATATTTAAAAATCGAACAGTAAAAGTATCAACCTACATCATTTTATCCGAACTAAATTAACTTATTGTAAGTGCTCATAAATATGTTTGTCGCTTTTTTTTTCGAATACCAGCTTAAAACAGTAGCTTAATGCAGCTGTTTCGTATGGTGAGTGTAGAGAACTGGAGATCCTTTTTACTGGAAATGAGGCAATCCATCTTAGTCCTCACGGGTGACAACGCATCTGCATTTTGATTCGTAAACGAGGATAGATGTAATTGTCTATTGGCCGCAGCAACCACTTACCATCAGGTGGACTGTCTGCTTGTTTGTAACCCTATCCTATAAAAAAAAAACTATACATCGCTTGTACAAATATTAGTTAGTACTAGTAGCCCATTATAGCTTCGCTTGGGTGGGATTTATTAATGTGGCGTAATTTAGCTTTGAGATCCCCCATAAAAGTCCTCTATTAATTCTGGATAAAATATAGCCTAGATCATTCCTAGCATTGCTTTCAGTTTGTTTGTTTGAAAGGCACCCGGACAGACAGACAAACACAAAATTTAAAAATGGTTATTCATGTCTTAATAACATGCATATAACCTCCTGAGCTGAAAAGGCGACAGTTATTTCTACATCACAGACAGTCATTTCAATTTTATATACAGGGTTATTTGGCAATAACTGGCCAAATTTGCAGGCAAGGTTCAAAATAAGTAATAATATAGGCAAAATTAATTTAAAAAAAATCTCAAACATTCTGTACTTTTTATCTTTTAAATTTAAAATGCGTGGTAATGCAATATTTTAACAGATTTTACTGCGCACGCACCACATTCGAATGTGTAAGCGTCGATCGGTAGGCAAAAAGGTTGTGGCCGATAAATCACATGAAATTTCGGAAAATTTCAAATAAAAGTAGAAGCCTTCTTTACTCGTATTTTAAAAAACTGCAATGACAGTATTATCATTATTTATACATTTGAACTTAAGTTAAAATTTGGCTATTCTTTGAAAAATAACCCTGTATATGTGCATAGATAGTAAACAAATATTCAGTAACCTGCAAAGTTGGCAATGGAATGTCGTCCACTTGAACTGACTGAGCATGTTTCACAGATTCATAATATGAAATCAAATGTGCTCTCCTCTTCTCATACTCCATTTCCTGGCGTTTCAGCTCCACCCATTTTTCTGGATCATCTTTGTCCTAAAACAATAATAACTGCATGATATAATTTTATAGTCACATGATTTTTTTACACAACTTACATAATATATATCTCAATATATATAAATTACGTGTCACGTTGTTTGTCCGAGATGGACTCTTAAACTAATTAACTGATTTTAATCAAATTTACACACCATGTGTAGTTTAGTCCAACTTGAGGGATAGGATGGTTTTTTGCCCATGAGTGACCCACAATTTTTTTGCGAATTTAAGGATTTTTTATAGGACATGACAAAGGGTCGTCAAAAAGGGCAGAAAAGCTGCCTGACAAGGTATATATATGCTATCACCGTATATATATATATATATATATATATGGTTGAGCGGAAAACCATTCGTATTTATTTATTTGACGGTAGGCTTGCCAAATCGTTTATCCCTTTCCAAACGATATCATTCATACCCTCCTATCGACACATCGGGGTGGTGGGGTGGGAGGGGAAAGAAGATGATTCTAGAATATTACGCAATCATCGCAACCGAAGGAATAAAAAGGCACGCGCGGCCGACGCGCGCCCTCTTCCCGCCGCGCTCGTCGTTGGAACCACACCGCCTCTCTCCCGACGTATCTCTGGGGCCCCAGAGAGTCTTCCAGAAGTCGCAACAATATAGTGCCCAAGCCGCATAGAAGCAACACCCCGGTGAGTGAACATTCCTAATAGTTCCTGCTTGATATAATTGTGTTTAATAGTTAATCCGCTCCAATTTTTTCTCCTAACCAAGCAGGATTCCTTTCATAGATTTAGCAAATAATAGTTCGTTTTAGGGAAGAGTGAGTGCATTGTATGGGAAACCGCGTGCTATAGTCGCCATTTTATGTAAACGTAGAAGCATTTCGCATATACAGTCCACTTTGGTTAATATCTCGCGTAATAGGTTTTAAGGCTCGACCGGGGAATTGGACTTCGGTAGCCTTAGGCTCGTCGCTCCACCATTTTATGGTCACTTCGGCAGGATTTGGACTGGTGTTTAGTAGTCGTTCAACCATTTTCTGGTCGAATTACTAGATTAATTACTTAGACAATGCACTCTAATTTATGGAATAGATTTTAATAGTATTCGCTTAGTTTAAATTTAAATTTTGGTTAGTTACTCGCAAATAGAATTATTCATTTAAATAGTGTTTGTATTTGGTTTAAATTTAAAGCTTATTAGTCGCTTAATTAATTGAAACTGTGTAATCACACGCGTTTTGTACGCTTAACCGACAATTTTGATAAAAATATATTGAGTTTAGCGAGCGACGCGCGTCACCTCGGCTCGCTAACAGGTGTTCAATTTAATGACGTAATACGGCGCGAATGTCCATCCTCCAGCGTTGTGAGATTAATTGTGATTAATATAATTTTATTATAATTTAAAATGGCAGTTAGTGGAAATGAAATCAAAATTAAAACGCTTTATGCCAAGAGGGACATACTTTTTTCACGTATACGAAGTATTAGTGATCACATAAAGAACGTTAATGTAGATGCAGTGCGGGAAACTTTCTTAAATGAAATTGAAACGGTGGATTCTTTGCGGACGGATTACGAAAGAATATTAGACCAAATTAATCATTTGGAATTACAAATCGACCCGAAATATATAGTGAACTACCAACCGCTTCTGGCATTTGAAGATATGTTGTGTCGCGTGAAAAGAACGGCGAAACTCTTAGTCTACAGCTCAAAACGAAGCAAAGCCGGAAACACAGGTAACGCCCACGTGACTCAATTAGGTTGCCGCCAATAGATATTCCGGTATTCAATGGGGATATTAAGACATGGCCCTTCTTCTTCAGTAGTTTTGAAAACAATATACATAATAACCCATCGTTATCTGACGCTGAAAAATTATATTATTTAATTAGTAAACTTAGTTGATTGTCGTCTGATTGCACCGAGATGCAATACAGGTATCGGGCCTCGGGGTGACCCCCCATTACCCGGGTGTCCTCATGTCCCATTATTATGGGACAGTCCTTATTGCCTATTCTAGGCTAATAGCATACCGGGTTTTCGGTGTTTGCGGTTTATGTTGTTTCCGTAGTTTAACCAACTACGGAAAAGGTGGTTATCTGGTTGAGTCTGGGTTGGCCTATCTGCGGCATTGTGGGTTGTTACTCAACTCTCTAATCACATATAGAGAGGAGTTCTCTTGGAAGAGGTCGCCCGTCCGGTGGCCGGGTATGCAACGGCGCAAAGCCGTTGAGATGTTCATGTGGCCCGTTATCGGCACGGTCAAACATGCCGCGCGCTAACCGGGCCACGAAGTCGATGATGTTCTCGATCTTTAAGTCCGCCGCTATCACGTCGTTCCGGACGTAGCGACCTGCTCCGACGATCGTCCTTAGTGTCAGATTCTGCTGGGCCTGTAGTCGCCGCCTCAGAGGGTCGCTCAGAAGTGCGTACCAGGCCGGTGCAGCGTAGGTGATAATGGTCCGGATATACATCTTGTATATCCGGAGCTTGGTTCTTAGAGGCAGCTTGGATGCCAGGACCGGCAAGAGCGTCGCCCGCGCACATCGGGCCCGGCGGACGACGAAGTCGACGTGCGCGGTCATGCGCAGCGTCCTGTCGATCCTACACCCAAGGTAAGTTACAGCCTTCTGGTACGCAATCTCCTGGCCGTTGAGGGTCAGCGGAGGTGGTAAATTCCTGAGACGGCGAGTGAGCAGAGCGGTCGTCTTACCAACGTTGACGACCATCCTCCACTCATCCAGCCATTGTGGCAGCAGGTCCAGCAGACGCTGCATCTTGGCAGTGGCTATGTGGGCTCTTCTGGACGAGGTGAAATAGGCGCTATCGTCCGCGAATAGCGCCAGCTTGACGTCGTCCTCCCACTCTTGAAGCCTGCCTGCCAGTGTAGGTATATCGTTGGTGTAAGCCGCGTACAGGACTGGAGACAGACAGCTGCCCTGTGGGACGCCGGCTTGGATGGATCTTGTTGCGGATTCGGCGTCCTCTACGCAGACGTAGAACTTCCTGTCTTCCAGGAAAGACGCTATTAGCCGCAATATAGCAGGAGGGACACTGGTCTGTTGTTCCAGTTTATATAATAATCCTGTGTGCCACACCCGGTCGAACGCCTTCTCGATATCGAGAAAGACGCCCAACGATATGCGGCCACGATTGTACTCTGCCGCAAGCAGGTGCAGCACTCTAGTCAGTTGTGTGACTGTGGAGTGACCCCTCCTGAATCCGTGCTGCTCCGCCCGAAGTTGGATGCACGGACGGAGACGTCTTAGCAGCAATCTTTCGAACAGTTTAGCTATATGTGGTAATAGCGTGATCGGCCTGTAGTTGGCAGCTCTACGCCTGTCCTTCCCGGGTTTCGGCAAGACGATGATTTTGCCTTTCTTCCAGTCCTCCGGGAAGTGGGATGTCCGCAATATCCCATTGTAGAGTCGACCAAGCTCTACTATGACTCTATTGGGCAACTGTCGGAGTGCAGCGTTGGTAATCCCGTCGTGCCCCCGGCGCCTTCCTCGGTTGCAGGCAGGTTACTGTCCTCCGCAGTTCTGCGGGGGAGATGAACCAATCTCCTGCAAGAGGTGGCGCGGGCGACGACAGGAACTCCTGTACGCGACTTTCCTTCCGGGCATGAAGCTCCATGAACTCCGCACTTGCTGTGTTCGGCATAAATTGCTCCTCGAAGTGCTCGACTAGGATATCCGCTCTGCCCTTGGCATCGTAGCATCGTTTGCCCGTATTATCAGTCAGCGGGCAAACGGGAGGTCTGGATTTGGTCAACTGTCGGTTTAGCCTATAAAGCGACACATCACTCTCTTCCGCCTTCTGGATGCGCCGATCCCAGGCTTCGCCTCTGAAGGCCTGGACTGAAACCGACAGTTCCTCCGTTAAGGTGTTCAACTGCGTTTTGATCCTGGGGCAGCGAGTACGCGCCCAGAGCTTTCTCAGCGCTCGTTTGCGCTTGATCTGCACGCATATCTCACGCGGCAGATCGTCTCGCCTTGCTGTAATCGGGACGACCGTAGAAGCCGCGTGGAGGGCTTCCTTGATGTTATTGGTGATTCTAGTTGCAGCGGCCTCTACGTCGTCCGCTGTGCATATAGGTTGATGTGCTGGAGGTCTCTGCTGAAGATGTTGACAGTAGAGCCTCCAGTCGACACGGGTTTTAAAAGCTCTAGGCGGCGTAGTCACTGCCTTTAAGCCAAGGGTTATCAGTAACGGGAGGTGCTGTGAAGGGAGGTCGTACAGCACTTCTACCACTATCGGATAGTTGACGTTCCTAGTGAGCACGATGTCTAATACATCCGGGTGCCTCCTTGGGTCGGTAGGAACGTGAGTTGGCTCCTCGGGACCTAGAACGTCATACTGGTTCTTCTCAGCATCTTCATATAGCTCACGACCCGGCGGGGTGATCACTCTGGACCCCCACGCCGGGTGTTTGGCGTTCAGGTCCCCGGCGATGATTACAGGAGTATCGCCCTCCATTACCGTCCGGATGTCTGAGGAGCAGAATGGAGTCCCTGGCGGGCGGTATGCTGCGTATATTCTTAGTTCCTCGCCCGCCGCCTCCATTCTTATGCCGATCGAGCGCATAGTCTGGAAGGATGGTAGATCCAGCTCTTGGTGGACGATGTCCCTCCTCACTAGAACCGCCGTCCCTCTATAGGCGGCCCCTTGAGAAGTGACCTCGTCCCTCCTATAAATATGGAAGTTAGGCAGCTTTATGCGCGTTTTGGGATTCAATATTGTTTCGCCCAGCAGTATAATATGTATGTCCTGTTGCTGGGCGACAGTGCGGAGTTCCTGCAGCTTCTGCTGAATTCCGTCCGGGTTCCAGTACATTAGGCGCAGGTTATTATCCTCCATAATGTCTGGCCAGGAGGTTTGCCAGCGCCTTCATGATCGCTGTTATTGGATCCGTCCCGGCTCTGATGTCGGCCAGGACTTGCGTGCCGACCTCGATGGCAATCCCAACTAGGCGCTGGATTGCATCAACTGTTTCGAGGCCGGCCGTCGGTGGTC